TCTCCACCTGAGGTCTTTGTTTGTTTTGTTTTAATATTCACAAATATCTTTAATTTTATTTCATTATTGTATTTTCTTCCGAATTCCACTGCTGGCTTAGTTAGCTAGACTTGCCTAACAAGGGATATGCAGCAGATGGCTGATACAACAGTTACCACCTCACACGTCTAGAAACCACAAGTTCAGAGTCAAAGTGTGGCAGTGACAATCTCTGGCTTGTAAATGTGTCATTCCTTGGCTGGGGAATAGAGCTCAATTGGTAGAATTCCTGCCTAGCATGCTTTAATCCCAAGAGTTGGGAAGTGGAGGCAGAAATATGAGAAGTTCAAGGTCATCCTCAGCCACGTGTCAAGATTGAAGCTAACTAGGGCTACATCCAACCCTGCTTCCAGGCAGCTAAATCACCTGAGGGTCTATGAGTCTTCAAGAGCTTGCTTCCTTTGTATTTGTATCCATATTTTCCTCTGTGTAGAAAGTCAACAGACATTGGTTTAGAACCCATCTAACCTGGGGTGTGCCCATTCTAATGTGCCTGCTTCTACAAAGCACACTGACAGATCCATAGCGTGGGCAGGGTTCCACTGGACAGCTAACCCTGTGTGTCTCTTTTGATTAAATGCTATCATGTCAGGTTCTTTTAAGCAAGTTTCTTTTCTCCAATTAATAATTTCCTATCATCACCAAAATGTTTCAAGAAACAGTTTATATTTGTTTGTCTAGTCTTTCATTTCTGTGACTAAGAAAAGTAAACTCTGTATAGGAAGAAAATACTGTTCATTGACTAGGAAAGCTGCTTGAGAAGAGTTCAGAAAAGCAAGAGTTAAAAAGGGCAGTCACCAGAGTGCAAGGTCTGTTTACCAAGGTTTATGACTTGGGTGTGACTTGATTACTCAAGCTTCAGAGCCTTGGAGTGAGTTGAGCCTGCTAGATTGGGCCAGGTAAAGCTCTGCATGGCCATGTAGGGCCCTGATCATAGCTTTTTAAAGACCAGAGCAACTCTGGGAAACATGGATGTGGTCAACTGCCTGTTCCTCCAGTGTGTGTGTGGGCAGCCCCTGTCCATGGCTAAATCTCAGGTAGGTTCTTAGCCTAGAGAGAATGATGCTTTCTGGAGTGTGTGTTTATAGTTCTAGGAATGAGCCCACTAGTCTACACTCTTCTAAGTGAACCCTGACAGTATTCCAGAAGCACCAAAGTTCTGCTTAGAATAAAAAGATTTCATTTAGAATCAGTGCAGCTGGGTGCAGAGTCCATGCCTGGCATGCCTGGCGTGTGTAAGGGTTCGGGTTCATCCATATGTAGACAAATCCAAGTTGCCTTTGGAAGAGATCTGTTTCCTTTTGACTGGGGAGCAGCATTTGAATGTGAGCTCACAGGGGCCTTCTCAGCTGCTTCTCCTGAAATGAATGTTTCAACTTGATATGATACTTTGTAACTAGATTTCAGGATTCCCAGAACATTTTCTGGGTGTCCTTTCAGAGGGTGTCTTTTCTTGTACCTTCGGTGGAACTGTGTAACACTGAAGTCCTTACAGTTGGAGTTCTGTATTCAGACAGTAGCAACTGTCTGACAGAAATGTGGCAGGAATACCTGCTAGGCTGCTTCAGCTGAGCCTGCCTTGCCCAGCCCCAGTCACTTCCTGGTGTATTTCTTTATTTTTGGCATGAGAAATCAGGTTGCTTGTTGCATAATCAGGGAAAAAAGCTTCTAGCCATTAACAACAACAAAAACTGAAAACTATAAAATGAATAAGTATACATTCCTTTGGGAGCAGTTAAGACTGCTCCATGCCTCTGATTTTGTTCTGTGCACCTGTTTGCCTAGGAAGTTGTCTGGCCCTTAAGTGACATCATATACATTTACTCTTACTGTGTATCGTATGTAGTTAGTGATTTGTTTGAGTCCCCCATAATGACCCGATTTTCATACAGAATTCAGGAAATGGTGTTTACTTTATAATTTCTCTCCTTTTCCCATGGTGATATTAGGGAGGCTAAAAGCATAGATATCTTCTCCTGGGTATGTATGTAAATATGTTCACCTCAGGGTGGTGAGAATCTGAGGTCTCGGTACCATTTAGATAGGGAAGGAAGTTGAGAGAGAATGGATGTCTTTTAAGAGAAATAGGTCTGTAGAAAGATAAATGAGGAAAACAAGGGTTGTGGTTCTCCTACTCTACAGTAGTGCAAGAAAATAGTGTGAGAAGGAGCCTAGGACCATTGGATTCTTTGGGGAGTCTGTTAGAGGCAGGTAGCTTCATAGGTGGGTGTGGGAGGGGTAACTTTACTCAGATGTCTTGGGCTCACAGAATTTATAGAGTATAATCTGCCCCTTCACAGGTTACAGGACAGCAGCATAGGCAGAGATTGTGAATAGAAATTCAGAGGACACCGGAGTGGCTGCGTGGCCCTGAGCAAACCACTACGCTCCTCTTTCTCTCCCAGTATTTCTAATTTGAAGAATGAAGAGGATGATGTAGATTGTCTATACATTCCAGCTTCTGTTTTAGCATCGGTTTTTATGGCTGATGATCTGCATTTATTTATGAGGTCCAGTATTTTAATTTGATACATGTATACCATATCTTTTATCTTTTTTTTTTTTTTTTTTTTTTTTTTTAATTGGGAATCTCACTATGTTATCCTGGCTAGCCTTGAACTCTTATAATCTTAGTGAACAGGTAAACATATCAGCCTGAAAATTAAGCAAGCCTTCATTTTAGGGCTCTTGTCCCTGGCACAAGGTTTCTCTTCCGGAACCTCTACCATTTAACCTTCTTCTGGCCCAGACTGTCTCTTGGACAGGGCAGGGCCAGGTACATTGCTGTGTCATCCCTTGGCCACCTGCCTCTGATGTGTCCTACCTGCCTTGCTGTGGAGGCATCTCTGCCTAATCTGCATATCTCAGGATCCTTCCCCAAATGGTAGCTCCTTAGCCTGTTGGTTTGTGTTTTTAAAAGACAAATAGGGACAAGCCAGATGGGTAGCACTGCCCTGTAATCTTGGCACTTTGGGAGTCTGGGTCAGGGAGATTGCCTCAGACAGATGGATGGATGGATGTGTGTGTGTGTGTACGCGCACGCGCACACACACACACACACACACACACACACACACACAGTGTGTGTGGGGTGTCCTTGAATTTTTTCCCCTCTTATGGGGCCTGCCACCCAACTCCCAGATAAATGTATTGAGACTTATTCTTACTTATGAATGCCTGGCTTGCTTCTAGCCAGCTTTTCTGAGTTAAATTAACCCATTTCTGTCCTTCATTTTGCCTCTGGGCTTTTTAACCTTTCTTTATTGTGTATGTTTTTCTTCCCTTCTTACTCGGTGGCTGCTGACCCCTGGCATACTCCTCTCCTTCTCCTTTTTTCTCTTCTTCCACCCTCCTCGATCTTTTTTTCCAGCCCAGATCTCTCCTTTTTATTCTCTCTGCCTGCCAGCCCCACCTATCCCTCTCTCCTGACTAACTATTGGCCATTCAGCTCCTTATTAGACCAATCAGATGCTTGAGACAGGCAAAGTAACACAGCTTTACAGAGTTAAACAAATGCCACATAAGAGAATGAAGCACATCTTTGCATCATTAGACAAATGTTCCACAGCATAAATGGATGGAACACATCTTTAACTAATATTCCACGAGAGAGAGAGAGAGAGAGAGAGAGAGAGAGAGAGAGAGAGACAGGGAGGGAGGCGTACTTGGAGACATTCAGGCTTGGCTCACAGCAGTTGCTGTGTCTACTGCTGGCAACTGCTGCCAGTCTCTGGACCAGCTCCGCTGCTGCCTGCCTCAGACTTTGGTGATCTGCCGAGTGGATTGGCACCTAGTTCCAGGCAGGGCAAGCCTTGGGGACGGCTACTCTACCTGATAGGCCTCTCCTGACAGGATTGCATTTCAGTTGTTTGCTTGAGGTTACTCGGCCAGCCCATGGCCCTGACAAGGATGTATACAAAAGTCCGCCAGATTCTAAACCATGCATACTTTCCTGATTGCCTTTGAAAAAATATATAAAGCTGAGTGGGCCTGGTGGTGCATAACTTCTTACTCAGGAATGGCAGTTAATAGGCTAGCCTGGGATACATGGCAAAACTCTGCCCTCCTCTGCACCCTCCCCCCAAAGATAGAAAACTTATTTAAACAATTAGAAGTGGTGGGCGGCTAACTTGAAGGTGGCACTTGGTGGAGTGTTTACTCAGCATATTCAAGGCCCGAGGTTTGATCCCAGGACTGCTAGCAAAAAAGTGTTGCCTTTTAGAGTCCTGGAATCTTGTTCTTGTTGAAACAGTCGTCTTTAGGTAGCGCAGGCTGGCTTGAATCTCCACTGTCCTCTTCTCTCTGTCTCTCAAGCACTGAGATTACCTCATGGACCTCCATGCTCATCTGAGGGTCATTGAGTATGGGATTATGAGAGTTATCTGAGAGTCAAGGTTAGCCTTGACTTGTCCAGACCCACACAGCTTGCTGGCAGTCTGGCAGTGTTAGGAACGCTGTCTAGTTTAGTCGACTCCCATCAGACTGTGGCTCTGGAATGGGATCGTTAAGTGTTGAGCCCTCAGGGCCCTAGATGTAATCTCTAGCACCTTCTATTTGTCAGTAGCCCCCACACCGAAAGAGAATCCAGGGCAGCTGTGGGTCTTGTTACACACTTATTACACACTCGATGTCTGGCTGCCGTGGCTAACCTCCTGCTGTTGAGCATATTTGGGAAACACCCATCTTGGTTGTATGTTCATTTTGTTATTGTAAACCTGCTTGCATCCTTAATGTCTCGCTGTAGCTTGTCACTGGTCCCCAAATATCTCTTAAACTGTAGTGTTAATTGAGCCTGGAGTGAAGTCCGCCTCATTGAATCCACAGGTGGTTGTGTTCTCACTGCCTGGCACAGTCACTTGAGGTAAAGAGAGTCTGTGGCTCTACAGAGTGGGCGGGAGGCAAAGGCATCTGCTCACCCCTGCCTGGATCTCTGAGCTCACTCAGCCTGTTCATTTGCAAAGGTGGTGAATGAAGATGACTGGCAGCAGGGCTCAGCCCAGGAGGAGGAGCAGACTGAGGTGCCTCGCATCTCTAGGAGGAGCTGGGGCTCAGGAAGGCACACCCGGCCACGGCCACTGTCTGACTATGGTCAACTGGCCAGCAGAAGCTTGTCCATTCCTGAAGATGCCATTGCTACAGACCCTCCAGATGACAACCACGTGGACAGGATGCACCCATCAAGAGTGACCACCACCAGCCAGCATCCACATGCCCCCTCGGGCTGTTCCAGGGGGGGCCGGAGAAGGCGACCTATATCTGTGATTGGAGGGGTCAGCTTCTATGGCAACACCCAGGCAGAGGATGTGGAGAACCTCTTGGTCCAAGTAAGAGCTGGTGTTTCCAACCGTGGCCAGCAGAGACTCTTGGCTTCTTGCCTCTGTTCTTCCTGCAGACTAAACTGGACACTGCTTTTCCTTCTTGGGGAGGGTATACCTCCTCATCCCCTTTTCCTCCTGACTTTGAAACCTGCTTGGATGCACACTAACAATCCATTCTCTCATCGTCTGCTTTCCAGTCTTCTTTCCTGGTGCCTCAGCTAACAGCACAGACTTGTCACTTGTCTGAAAAGCCTGAAACCTGAGCAGGAGGGGGGAGAGGGGCGCCCTGTGCCCTGCCTGACTTTATCTAGTGCACTTCCTGAGGGAGTGTCTGTGGAAGGACAAAGTGGTTCGTTGTTAGAATGCAAACGTAGGAACAAAATAAAGATGACATAGAAGGGGATGGGGGGTGGATGCAGCTCAGTGATGAAGATTTGATCTCATGCATGGAGCCCTGTGTCCCTTCCACCCACCTCCCAAAACAAAGAGGACGACCATGCTTGGAAGAGAATTTCTTTATCTTCTAAAATATTACATCTCTCTTCTCCTCCCTAGTGATTCATCACACCTTCACCCACCACTGCTGGAATGGACCTAGGCTTGAAACATACTAGGCAAGCTCTCTGCTGTGAAACAACACCACCGTTCCTTATTCTACTTTTGAATTGCAGTTTTGCTGCAAGTTTGATCCCAAACACCATTGGGCCTCAGCACATTTGGCAAATATTTTTTAAGTGTATTGTGTGTGAGCACTTTAGGGCTATAGAACATTCAAGTAAAGGCCCTAGGGGAGAAACTCACACTTCTTTGCGTATTTGGCCCAACTAATACCACAACAATGCTCATATAGTCACAGAATAGTTTATATAATAATTTGTGTGCTCAATTTCATTTTGAAAACCTGCTAGGTACTTTCTTAAATTTCTTGTAAAAATTCTCCGAGAAAGAAATCCGATAGTAGGCTTGAATTATGTGTTAAAGCTCGTCCTGCCAAGCGCAGCACAATGTCTCGCTTGAACCAAACACTGAAAAACCCTTGCTTAACCCAGTTGAGTTCTTCAAATAAAATCAAAAGCCCAGCATGGTGGCACACACACACCTGTGACCCCTCAGGTCATTCATCTGTATAGAATTGGAGGCCAGTGTGGACTATGAGACTGCCTCAAAAACAAATTTAAAAACCACGAGCAAAGCAAAGCAAAGCAAAGTTGAAGGCCCTTTTGTTTTAGGGTATTCCACTTGTTAGGAAGTATTTCTAACCTAAAACAATTTGTAATATATTTGAATGCAAGACTCAGTTGAGGGATGATCTGAGGTACTTAGACTTTTATTTCTGAACACCAAGATAGTATTGTGGGCAAACATGCTGGCTCATGCCTGCAATTCTAGAATTTAAGAGACTGAGGCAGAGGAATTGTGGGATTGAGGCCAGCCAGGTCTACAGAGCAAGACCCTGATGTACAAACTAAAGCAAAGGGGAGCGTGATGAATGGTTCCCTTTTTTTTTTTTTTTTTTTTCCTAGAACAGGGCAGCTCAAATGTGCCTATCTATAACTCCAGCATCAGGAAGTTATGACTTCAGGCCCCTGCAGGCATCAACTTATGGGTGGCATGCACATACAGACACCTGTACTGTGTAAAATACAAACCTTTTACAAAATGATTTATTTTTACTTTAGTTGCACCTCTGTTTTGCCTGCATGTATGTCTGTGTGAGAGTGCCTGATTCCCTGGAACTAAAATTACAGTTGTGAGCTGCCGTGAATTGAACTTGGGTCCTCTTCAAGAGTAGCCAGTGCTCTTAACCACTGAGCCATCTCTCCCAGCCCCCAAACAAAACCTTTTTTTTTTTCCTAAGCAAAGCAACACTGGAGATCTGTGACCATGTCTGTGTGCTGTGGCCTGGCCCCTGCTTCCTCAGCTCCTGCTCTGGGCAGCGTCCCTTCCTAACTGTAGCTCACAGCCCTGCTGCTATCTGGATCTTCCTCTCCCACAGATGCCTCTCTTTCTCTGTTCCTTACCGGTGCGTGGCTCAAAGCCGGACGAAATGTGACTGAGCTAGCACTGAGGCTGCTGTTGAAACTTTCAAGCAGCCTGTTGCCACCAAGCTTGGTGCAGCCTGCAGCCGCTTGCTGGCTGGGTTTGAAGGCTTCAGGGTGAGAACACAGAGATGTTTTGTGGCTCACAGGAGCTGAGACTTCCTGGCATCTTCTCACAGCTCTTCACTTCCTTTCACAGCCAGCAGCCAGGCCTCCGGTGCCTGCACACCAGGTTCCACCCTACAAGGCAGTATCTGCCCGCCTACGGCCCTTCACCTTTTCCCAGAGCACTCCCATCGGGCTGGACCGTGTGGGGCGCCGACGGCAGATGAAAGCATCCAATGGTGAGTCTTGGGGCTTCCTCTGTGCCCTGGGACCTTTTGTCCGTTGCCAGGGTTACCCTGAATTTTTGACTCCTGCTCCTGTTCTTATGTCCACACACCTAAGTTGCTGCAGAGCCATCCCAGTATCGATACCCAAGGTTCTAGTGTGGAGGGTGCTTTTGGTTGGTTGGTTTGAGGCTGTAGGAACAGCACAGCAGTCTTCTCCTAGCTTCTGCCAGCCTCACGGCTCCTTGGCTGGCCTGTGCAGCCCCTCTCCACCTGCCCACTCTGTGGCATTCTCTCTGCTGCAAATGGAGGTGCCCACATTTCCCCCTTCTAAGGTGGCCACCACCCCCGTACCCTCATCTTAACTTCCCACCTACGAAGACTTCCATCTAGGTTACCATTAGGGATCTGGGGTGAGGATGTCATTGTCATTTTGGGGTTCAGTTCAACCAAAAGTGCTTCAGTGGCTATGTCAATGTCTATCGTGCCTGCGTGTGCTTGGATACCAGAAAAGGTTGGAAGATGTTGCCAAGCTGTTAGGAATGGAGAGGGATTCTCCTCAGCCCTGTATACAGCCGAGCACCCTGATTCATAATTTGTGTGATTTTTTTTTTTTAATATAAAAAAAGAAAAACAGAAACAAAAACCTCAGGGTTCTTTGGTTGAAAAAAAACATCAAAACTAACTGACTTGGTTAAGAAAAGGGGATGCAACCTAATATGTCATCCATTTGGTGGAGTACCTGAACTCTGAACTCTGCCCCTCATACTACCTACATAAAACAGTGTGTGGTGGCATATGCCCATCATCTCTGCACTTGGAAGATGGAGGGAGAATCACAAGTTCAAGGCCCCCCTCGGCTACGGAGTGAGTGTGAGGCTAACTTGGGCTACATGAGACCCTAACTTAAAAGGGGGCAGAGAAGAAAGAGGAATGGATTAGGAGGATGTTGGCTGCTCCCAGAATGGCTGGGGAACTAGGTAGGGCATGTATGATGTCAGGGTTGCTCCCAGTACTCACAAAACGCCAAGAAGCAGTGTCACTGGGCACGATGCCGCCAGGGGGAGGGGGAAGGCCAGCCTGCCCTGTCCTCCTGGTGTTCTTCCAAGAGTCAGGCTCCCAGGATGGAGACTCTAGCTGTTTGAGCTCATTGTTCACCACGTGGGTAGTGGGACGACGGGGACAAGGGCTGGGAGTCCAGTCCCCTCCCCTCTGCATTTATGCAGGTATTTGTTCCATGCCGTCAGTGTGAATACAGGAGAGATGTAGGTCCTGCTCCCAGAACAGCGCCCTTGTGGTGTCAGGAACAGATCGGTCCTGACAAAGTCCTCCCTTGCCGTGGGTCCACTCATACTCCCTTTCTCCCTCTGCAGTGAGCATTTGCTGTGTGTGAGAGGAGGGACGGTGGCGAACAGGACAGAGTCGCTCCATCCCTTAAAGCCCTGGGAGAGAAAATGAATCAGCAGGGAAGTGTTTAACAGGACAGGGACACTCTGCAGGAGAAGTCAGCAAGGTGGGGCATACTCATGCTCAAACCACCTCACCTCATAGTGCTGTACCTACCCCAGATACTATGGAAATGCCCCTCCTTCCCTGAAGATAACCCACAGGCTGATCACTGCATCAGACATTGCTAGGCCTAAGGCCTCCATTGTGGTGATATATTATTTATGATTTATTAAAGCTTGCGTGAGAATTCAGAAAGCAAAGTCAGACTCAAGCTATAGAGGTCAGGCAGCGGTGACACACGCCTTCAATCCCAGCAGCCAGCAGCAAGGAGGTGGTGGTACACCTTTCATCCTGGGACTCAGGATAAAGAGGTAGACAGATCTCTGTGAGTTCAAGGCCACCCAGATCTACACAAGATTGATCCAGTCCTAAAGAGAAACAGCTCACACAAAGATGATCTCAGCACCTGGGATCACATGCCTGTATTCCCAGCACTAGAGGGATAAAAGATAGGAATAGGGTCTTTAGTAGTCAGCTACACTGAAGATAGGAAAATTCATTCTCCAGCCACACTGAGGATAGGAAGACATTCAGTCTCAGGATTCTCCAGCCACCTTAAGGAAAGGGAGCAGGATTAGCTCATCAGCCTGAGGCAGTGGTAAGAGCTGTGGCCCACTACTTTGCTTTTCTGATCTTCATTTTGAAGTTTGAACCCCAATATCTGTCTCTGGGTCTTCTACTTTTCACGCAACACTCCACCCTGAGCTATAACCCCTGCTTCCTCTCCTGCTAGGTGCCTTTCTAGTGTTTCTAACAAAAGCCACACGGTATCATAGTAGGAAATGGGGCAGGGAAGGGCAGGATTTGTGAACTGGTGCACACCATTCATGATGTCACAAAAGGAATGTCTCCTCTCTCCTCTAGAGCCAGGTCATAGGTGGTAGGTTTTGACTCCGTACCCCCTCTTCCAGCTGCCTGCTGCCTGCCCCTCCCAGAACCTCTCACCTTGTAGGGATCTGTGTTGGACAAAGTGGTCTGTCTTCTTCTTTCTTCTCTTTTTTATCAAAAGTCAGTTAACTTACAAAAGCGTGTGGAGCCTCAATTGTGAGCCAGGGGCTGTGGCAGTAATTTAGTAAATAGCATCTCAAAGACTATACGGATGACTTCTGTATCCCTGGGTTTCATGTCCTCTGAGTTTACCTACACAGACTGGAAATATTAAAAAAGAATTATGCCTTTACCGAACATGCCCAGGCTCCTGTCCCTTGTGCATGGACCCAGGTCCTCAAACTTGCTACATACTCCAGCCCTAGCCTTTTCAGGACATGCTCACTAGATGGTGAAATCATCTAGAAATGACTTCAGATGTATAAGATGTGGATATGCTGTGTGCTAAGGTCATGCTGTTTTAAGTAAAAAGGCTTGAGTATCCAGAGTTTGGTATCCAAAGGGACCTTGGACACAGAGGGGTTACTGTACACCCCAGCATTTGGATAGATTTCTGATGGGATTCATTAAGCCACTAGTGATGTTTGTGGAGAAAGTGAGGAGGAGGGTGGAGAATAGGAAAGGGCAGGAGTGACACTGAGTAGCAGCCTGGGTGATGAGGAAGAGGCAGTGAGATACCCTAGCAGCAGCAGATGCTTCACTGAGCTTCAACAGGAGGCCAGTGGCTGAGCACAGCTTCAACAGGAGGCCAGTGGCTGAGCACAGCTTCAACAGGAGGCCAGTGGCTGAGCACAGGAAACATGGACGGAAGAGGGCACTGTGTTCAGAGATAGTGGCTAAACAGAAGGCATCTCATGTCCTGAGGACTTGAGGTGCTAAGTACAGTAAGGAGTTATTGCCAACAGGAAAATGATGCGTTCTGGTTTGCGCTTCAATTAAAAACAACAGAGATGGGCTTGGTTTCACAACCCTTTAGTCCCTGAACTTGGGATGCAGAGGCAGGTGGATCTCTAAGTTTGACCAGCCTGGTCTACAGAGTGAGTTTCAGGACAGCCAGGTCTGCAAAGAGAAACCCTGTCTTGAAAAACAAAGCAACAAGGGGCTGGAGAGATGGCTCAGCGGATAAAAGCACTGGCTGCTCTTCCAGAGGTCCTGAGTTCAATTCCCAGCAACTATATGGTGGCTCACAACCATCTGTAAGGAGATCTGGTACCCACTTCTGGCCTGCAGGCTTACATGCAAACAGAATACTATATACATAATAAATAAATAAATCTTAAAAAATGAAAATAAAAAAAAACCAGTAAAACCTTCTTACATGTGTGGTGTCTGTGTGTTGAGTGTCTGTGGGCACGAGCATGCCAGAAGATGTATATGTAGGTGAGAAGACAACTTGCAGGAGTCTGATCTTCCTTTTCACCGTGTGAGTCCTGGAAGTCAAACTCAAGTGGTCAGGCCTAAGAACCTTTACCCTCTGAGCCATCTTACTGGTTCCTGGTCTGTGCTTCAGGAGGAAGAGTGGCCAGGCCTATGTGATTGTGTGTGTCTGTAATCCCAGGAAGTTAGCCGAGTTACCCTGGGCTTCACAGTGAATTCTGGCCAGCCTGAGCTATACAGCAAAATCCTGTTTCAACGAACCAATCAACCAATAAATAAAAATTAAAGATTAAAGACCAGAGAAAGTAAAGGAGAAAAGCAAGTAGAGAAGTTCTGGATAAGGCAAATATAGAGAAGAAAGATGGACGTGAAGGCTGCTTTTTGAGTCCCACTGAGTATCCACAGTGGCCGTGGCCACAAAAGCCACCAACAGTTCCCATGGGTGTTCATTTTCCTGAAGCAAAAGGAGGCTGAAATGCCTAGCCCAGGCTCTGGCTCGGTGGGCTAGAGCTGGGATGTCCCATGGAAGGACTTTACCCCTTGGAGATGAAATTCAGTTTGACAGAGCAGTGCTGACTGGGAGGAGAACATTTTGCAAGTGTGCTGTGGGGTAGGAGAGTATCTGCTTCTATGTTTACCCCGGGTTTCCGGCTGTGGCTTGCCATCCCCCAGTGACATGAGTCACAGGTTCATAGCATGTGCCCCATGGCAGCACCAGGGTATGTCTCCAAGCTTCCTAGACAATTGAGTTTCATTGAGGTGGTGTTGGATGTGAGCCAGTCACTGGGAAGTTATAGGTGGCATCTGGGAGATACTATGGCTGTTTAGAAGCCTTTAGTGAAGAGATGTGGGTAATCTGTGTCCAGCACAAGTGACTTTTCCAGTGAGGACAAATCATTGCCCCTCTGTTATAAAAATGTCCATTGTAATCAGCTTCCCACAAGTAGCTGTCTGGTGCCTACAGAGAACCCTATCATTAACCCTGGTGAGAGCAGGCCTTGTGGTCTAGCTCAGGCTGGCACCCTTTCTGCAGCCTGGTGGGTGTTTTGTTTCTTGTGAGTCCACTGAGCCTCCCATCAAGATGAGTAGAGAAGATTAGCCTATCCTATGTTTGTACCATGAGCATCATGCCCACATGATTCTTTTTTGTTTTTCAAGACAGGGTTTCTCCGTATTGCTTTGGATGTTGCTGTAGACCAGGCTGCCTCAAACTCACAGAGATCTACCTGCCTCCCGAGTGC